ACGGCAGCCATAGCCAGGGGTATGAGGTGGCGAGGAGGAAGAAGAAGACTCCTGCAGACTTCGTTGAACACTTGCTTTTGATTGTTCGGGGTTGTTGTAAACGCTGTTGTCATTCTTGGAACAAGTACTCTGGATTGATTGGAGGAGGACGGGGGATTTCAGAATTGAAATTCGTTTTTCAATTCCCTGTGTATTTCGAGCTTCCACTCTGCATATCTTCTCTCCGGTTTTGTGTGGATTTGCCTCCTTCGACTCTACTCTGCAATTGCATGCGTGTATGGGAACGTGTGAATTTGTTATGGATTGAAGGTCAATCGGGTACATAACACAGCAACCATTTGGAGCCCACCCAAATGACTACGAACTCAACTAAGAAGAAGAACTGCAGCCTATCTCTGGACCGGGGACCCATCGAAAGTCAACTTCAACTCCGAAGTAGCCCGGAAATATGTAACACAAAAGAAGGCAAATGGTGGCCTAGGAATACTTGACCCAGAAACGCAGATAAGGGCTCTACAATCCAAGTGGATCATTAAATTAATAACCAACAACAATCTTTCATGGATAGACATAGAGCTAAGAAGAGTACAACAACTAGTAAAATATAGAACCCCGGAAAACATGTTCGGCTTTTTTTGGATCATGGCCAAATCTTGGGCAATGAAAGGCACTTCTTGAGCAACGGAGCAAGGGGGAGGGGTGGAAGAGCCGGAACTGGACTTCTGGGGCCAACTATTAAACCACCAGTACCTTTCCCAGCCATTTCGCCGCTTTGTGCCGGTTAACACGGAGGCCGCACTCGGCCTCCGGCGGTGGCCAGATGCCCCGCCAAAATTTGGCGCGCAGGGCCCGCGGCCGATAGCTGGGAAAGGGTACACTGGCAGTTTAAAAGCTTGGAGAGAGATCCTGCAAGCAAAGGTGAGAGAACCAGCAAGCAAAGAGGAGGTTCTCAGGCAAGCCCTCTTTTGCAACCAGTCCTTACTAGATACACAGGGAAAGCCCTGGACCCTATCCGGAAATGACATGAAATGGGGCTCTTGGGCAGAAAAAGGAGTGTGGCATATTAAGCACCTATGGCAGGACACAGAAAAGAGATGGGCAACACTGTTATCAGCGAACTGAGAGAATGCCTAAAGGGTTGCCATAACCTACAGGAGAATCTAAACAACATTGTTATCTCTGTCTTGGAGAGAAGGTTGCAACTGCTCAAAGACCCTGCAAACTGAATCCGGGTGATTGGGCAACAATAAAGACAGAAGTCCCCCCCAACATCGCCTATCAATTCTGTTAGAAGGAAGGACCAAGGGACTCCTAGCTCATCTGCGACATGTATCCAATGGAAGAACCGGGGACAACTACTAGCCTATTAAGCTGAAACCCTTCAGTGGAAGTAGCCTTACTGGAGCAATCTGTAAGAAAAATAAGGGTAGTAGAAACAGAGCAACGTTGGATCTAYAACCCGACAACAAACTTAGAGGACCTAGAAGTAGACCCTGCGGAATGGGCATGGAAAGGAAATCAAGGAGACTAGGAATAGAGAAGCGTACTAATATCTTGGAGTATACCGCGAAGTTACGATATACACTGAGAACGAGATCCGTCTCAATCACCCAAATCATAAACCATAAATGGGTAACGCACCTCAGCATACCACCTAACTCCACACTCCTCTCCCCTTGGAATAGAATTATTTCCATAACAGCATTCAAAATAAGAATTTTCCGGTGGCTACTCGCTCACCAGGCCCTACCAGTAAACTCATGGCTGTATAAGAGAATGAATGCTCAGACACAATCTCCACTACAGGAACTCTGCCCCATCTGTCCATGCGGGTTGACAGAGGACATAGGGCATTGTCTTCTACTCGGTCAAAAAGCGCAACAACTCTGGAAACACACAGCGACACTGTGGCTCTTAACCACAAACAAAATCCTTCCAACGGATAGGACAGCAATTACCCAACTCATGGCAGGGGTATGAGGTTGCCTTTTTTCCAGACAATACCTTATGGATAATATGGAAGCACAGATGCCAAGAGACGATTGATGACATTGCAGTGAGCACCCAAGAGGTGTGGGAAGAAGTATTATACATAGTAGAAACTGAGTATAGGGGACGCTGGAAAAAAAAATCGCATGAAAATGGAACACAATTTAGCAAATAAAAATAAAATAATCGAAGCATTTTCCAAACACCACCTAGGAGAAGGCAAGATAGCTACGATTGAGCAGGACAGAATCTACCTTGGCCACTGGAGACACAATTACACAGCCCTACCCCAGATATCAGACGCACCCGGGAGTAGAACACACCTCACAGACATGTCACTAGGCTCTGGATAAATGCGGCACCATCCCACTAACTCCAAAGAACAACAAGACCGGAAGTAGGTTCTCAGAACTAGTCCCCAGTGCAGAGAGTACCAGGACTTTTGCACAGTATACCATTACAATAAGGGAAAGAAGAATAGAAGGGACCCCACAGAGCCGCAGACTCTGAAGGGAGTACAGTAGAGGGAGAACCAGATCTAGAATAAGCTCTTAAGTGATGGCATTTGGAATCTCCGAACACATAGGGCTTAGGGTTTTAGCACTCTGATAACTGACACCGAACTAGCAATTCTGGACCTCATTGCAAATCTGACAGCCAAGTAGCTGAGAGGAATATGTTAGGTCAGGTGACTCAGGCCCAATAGGATAGACAACGTAGATGAATAGAGTTACACGAATCAGAATAGGTCTAGCCTTAGGCAGGGGTGAGGGATGGTAAATCCTTCCCATGGGAAGTAATCAATGCCATCTGCCCAGGCCTCTCAACCATAATGGGGAGGAGCGTGTGTGAGTAAATTGTTGTAATTCCATTTCCTTGACTTGCCGGTGGAATAGGAACTGGACTGATCCTCCCCAGAATGGAAAGGAGCCAGAACCGTAAGGTTCTGTTTTTGTAAGGGGAAAAAAAAAGAAAAAAAAAGTCAATCGGACATGACAATTACTAAGAGGTCAGAACAACATTTCAGCAGGTGGGTAGAATTACAGAGCTCGGCTGCAAGAGGGGGGCTGAGGAAATCTCTCTGTGTCTGTGTGTGAATGCCACGATTGATTCATAGGTGGTTTTGCTTCTCACTGGTTCTGAGTGATTGGTTCTGTACATTTAGTCATAAAGAAGAATATGCTGGAGTGCTCTTTTATCTTTCGGTTGTTTTAGAGGAAAGGAAAGACAAATGAGAGTGATTGACAGTGGTGGTTGGTCGTTCCGCAGTGGAGGAGGTCCTGGAGATGGTTTTGGGAGACAAGAGAGATGAAGGATGATGGCTCCTCTATATCTAGGAGTCTTCCGTCAACGCAGAGGCATCCTTCTGCTCCTCGTTGTCCTTTTGAGTGCTGGGTCCCGGGAAATCCTCGGTGCCAGGGCCACTGCAGAGGAGGATTATAGCGGTGAGAGACAGGAGACCAGGCAGAGAGAGCTTACAGAAGCGCAGGCGAGTTCCCTCAATATCATTAACACAAACCTCCTGAAGAACGTTGCCAATATTCTCTCCAGTAGAGGAGACATAGCCACCAATAAAGCCTATCGGATCTTAGCGATCGCTCTTTCACCAAATGAAGAGACCATTTATTACTCTGAAAAGTTGATGAGCCCATCTGTTGATAACGCAAGCTTCTTCACGAATTGGGTTAAGAAGGCTGAACCCATAGGTCCTTACAACACAACGTACAACATCACATATGTTGCTGGGCCATGGCCTTTGGACACCAAGTTGGGGCAGTATGCCAGCTTCAGAAACTCCACCTGGGCAAGCAATGCAACAAATGGGTCTGATGTGCGGGGCTTGTTGATGTGGAATCACACGGCTTTAGTCCTTTCAGACATGAATAACAGTGCTCTATGGACACTCGATGTGAACTCCGGAAGAGGTGTGGAGCTACTAGACAATATAAAGTCGCCGATGCAGATGGTCAGGCATCCGGTGCAGGATGCCATCTTTGCGTCCGCTAACTCTCTCATCAGAAAAGTGAACATGTCTACACCTTCGCAATTCCAACGGTCGTATATACTTGCAGGCGGCGAGGAGGTTGGGTATGTGGATAATCCAAACTCTAAATTTGTCAAGTTTAGCGACCCCATGATCGGACCTCAGGCCATTTCCAGTGATGGAAGCAAATTGTACGTTGCTGACTACTGGAATAACGCGGTGCGACGAGTGGACACTGCCACAGGTGCGACAGAAACAATTGCTGGAGCATCAAGAGTGGTTACTGCCACAGGTGGGACAGAAACAATTGCTGGAGCACCCGTGGGCCAGCCCACATTTCCTAGCCCTGAGGGCGGATTCAACAGTCCTCGCAGTCTGGCCTTGGATTCCAAAAACTGCAACCTGTTTGTCTCGGAGCGTGACAGAGGACACATCCATTGGCTGCGTTTTGACAGACCGAACGGGAAAGTAATTGCTGTTGAGACAGTTGCTACACTTTTGAAAGCTGATGGCTTACCAGAAGCAATTATGTCTCTGTATCTCACCAAGTTGGATAGGTACCTCTACGCCGGCACTGGGGATGGCCAGRTCCTAAAGCTTGAAGTGAGTGCTTCCTTCCTTCAATGTCCCTCCGAGGGAGAAATGTCTTCGAGTTTGAAGGTGGTGATTGGTGTATCAGTGGGGGTGGTTCTAGCTGTAATTGTCGCACTAGTCTTGATCTTTCGAAAGCGTTGCTGCGGCCAGTGGTGGAGCACTGCACAGCCCCCAGATTTSACCATGGCGCCGACAACAGGTACCTGTGATGGTCAATMCYCTCTCCTAACCACTACTGTTAGCGGAGTGAGTGTGTTCTCTGAGACCGACGCAGAATGGCTGGCTGCCAATTCCATYACGGCGTTCCCCTGGTSGGAGATCGAAAAGGCACTAAGTGAGGGTAGCTGCCTGACTGGGAWGAGTGGTGGGTACGGTGACGTGTACAGAGGCTCCTTGATGGTGGGAAAAGCGATGACGGATGTGGCCATCAAGGTGATGCGAGGGGAACTGGACACAGTCAAACACAGACAATTCCTGGCGGAGGTGAACACACTCAGTCATGTGCGCCACAAGAATCTGTGCAAGCTGTTGGGTTATTGTGTGGAGGGAAACAGGTACGTCCTTGTATACCCATTTGTTTCAGGAGGGAGTCTGCATGATCGCCTGCACAGAACAAAACCAATTGCAGCAGCACCAGCAGCACTGGATCTGCAGGAGCGGCTTGCATCTAGCACCGTCCCTGGACCCCATGGAGATGGATGGGAGCCGTTGAATTGGACAGAGAGGGTGGTGATTGCAAGCCAGCTGGCCACCTGCTTTAGATATCTCCACCATGAACTGGAACAACCCATCATACATCGCGATATTAAGACCCAGAATGTGCTTGTCGAAGGTAAAGGGAAAAACTTGCATGCATACGTCTGCGACTTCGGGCTTGCCAAGCCTGGGAATGTGCCCCATGCTGACAATCCAACCCCCTCTGGCAAAACGACGGTGGTGACCCTGACGCACGGAGGTACTCCTGGGTATATGGCTCCCGAGTACATTTACGATGCCAAGCTGACTTTGTCAAGCGATGTCTTTGCGTTTGGGGTGATATTGCTAGAGCTGGTAACTGCCAAGAGGGCAATCCTGAGGCTGGAGAACGGGGACCCMATGCCACTGTACTCGTGGGTAAGACGGTATYCGGCCACGTCGGCTCTCGATCCACATTTACAAAATTCCATGACACCGGAGGAACGGGTGTTGGTGCAGGATATGCTGAACCTCGCGCTGCAGTGCACAGATGAGCRGAWATCCAGGAGGCCATCCATGGTGGACACAGCGAGGGCAATTGAAGCGATGTTGACTGGACCGGCACGCTAGTGAATKTTGGGAGGATTGCRAAGAGCGAATCGGCTCGCAAGGTCRAGTGTTGTGCCTTCGGCCCAGAAGATGGCACTGCATGCCCATAAGTTGCCTGGCTGGCACCCTTACATTACTGGCAATGCATGAGTTACTCCCAATTCGTACTCCCTCGTGAGGGTATGGTCGAAATACCCATGTGAAAGTCTGCGGGCCGCGAAATGGGGCATGGACAAAGCCTGAGCGAAAGGGGAGGCAAACAGGAAGGAAGAAAGGAGTGGGAAACTGCCTTGTCTGGGTGTGGTGAGTTGACTAACTATGGGGCTATTTAATCTGGGGTAAGGGTAGCAAAGGCATTGCTTTTCTATTCCCCCTGTATTCTGCTGCTTCATCATGCTTACGATAGAGGGGTACATAACCGTACATCCTTACAAGTCTTCCAATTTCTATTATCGAATCTTCTTCTTGCCTTTCATTTTTGTTTTCTGATTGGGTGCGGCAAGTCAGGTGTGGTTGCTGCTGCCATCATCCATCTCAGTTGATATCTCGCCGGATCAGCCGACATCACATCAGGTGGTTTGGGGATCATGCGCAGTTTTACCAACGAATGAAAGATTTYGATTCACAAAGTTTCAGGATATAGTACCCTGAACTTCTCCTCCTTCAGATATTGCGTTGGTGATTGATTGTATAAATAAGTTAAAATAACATATGGCCTGTGAGACTAGATTGGTTTTATAAATTTTCTTTACGAAGATAACCAAATCGCTCGTGTAGATGGACGTGCTGGCATAAGTAGCAGAGGGTGTTTGGTCGTTGTCTTGGTTCATGAGGGCCTTSGTAACAACTGCTTGCGTATAGGTTTCTTCAGGTCTGTGTTTCATTTGGCTTTTTATGGAGTTGCACTGGGAGCCAGTGCCTGATATATGACCACAACTTTGCATGATGGAATTTTTCAGACATGTATGATGCTTCTTGAGGTTTCCTATTTGATACCCTTAAAMCACCAGTACCTCYTAAAAGTCCTGCACGTTAATGGGCGTGGCTTTTGGGATGAACGGGCCTGGCCCGATTCAGCCAAGTGGAAACGGAGCGATTTCCACTTTTCGCTGGCYGTTAACGCGGAGCACTTTTAGGAGGTACTGGTGGTTTAAYTGTTGTTATTTCAACTGTGGTCACTTTTGTCAGTAACCACAGTAAAGAGGATAACTAAGGTAATGGGGGATATGATGGCGCGTCCGAAGGGCAGGGAAGGTAAACGGTGGGGTCAGGGTTAACTAAGGTGGAAGATCGACTTCAAGTGGAAGGGGAGGGAGAGGTCGTAGGGGGAGGTCCCACATCGCTGTTTAGATTTGGGGGTGGACTGTGTGTGTGTGGGGAGGAGTATYTGACGGTGGACACCATCACATGGAAGAGGGGGGGACCGAGTGGTGTGTCCAAAGAGAAGGAAAAGGTTAAGGGGTGGGCGCTTGAGTGGAAGTTYGACTTCAAATGGCAGGGAAGGAGAGGTGGGTGCTGACATGGCCAAGTACAGCTCAGAGATATTGCCGACCTGGCATAGTTGGGAGTCATACCTCTATAGAAAGTCGGGGGCCATCACTGGTTGCTGACCTGTCCGCGGGAGTGGCCTACCTAGCCGCTGATGTTGTAATGTGTGTGTGTGTGTGTGTGTGTGTGTGTGTGTGTGTGTGTGTGTGTGTGTGTGTGTGTGCGTGCGTGTGTGTGTGTGTGTGTGTGTGTTGAGCGGGGGAGGTCCAATACTGTTTAGATTGGAGGAGGAAACTTAGGGGAGGAAGTGGAAGGTGAGTTAACTGTGAAGGCGGAGACAAGGCGACAATGATGTGGGAATCAACGCTAGCTTTCTACGCCTCGGGGAAAGGAAGAACAGAGAAGGGGGCGAGAGCGATGGGAGGGTTAACCTGCTTTTGTCGATCTTCTTTGATGGTTGGACGAGCATGAGCAGAAGATCATTATCAGTGGGAGTCACACTGTCGGACTCGGTGGTTTTTTTTTGTTTTTTTTTTTTTTTACTCCCTTCGTTTTTCTTTTTCTTTTTCTTTTTAATAAAAAAAAGTCCATTTTTATTATAACACCACAAGGGGACGGCCACCCCACATAAAGACCGGGTCTGGGAGCTTTACCCAACGTTACGCTTTTGACGGGACCCCATGGGACCTGAATCCGAAATGTAAGAGTTACTTGGCCCTCTGTTCTACCACCTATGCTTTAAACCCTAAACCCTGGTTTCTCCTATCTTAACCCCTGCCGTTGCTTACTGCCTTTAAATAGCCCCCTAATATTTCCTGTTCTATCTTCCTAATCTCCTCCTTTTCCTCCTTCCTCGCCTCCCTTAATCCCAGGCCCCTCTTGACCCTCTCTTGTTTCCACCGATCCTCTTTACCTTAACTCTCTCGCCCTCGCCCCTTAAACCCTAAGCCCTAACTGATGTCTCGCACCTAGGTAACCCGTGTCCTTCCTTTACCTGAAATTCTAAGTCCAATTTCCCCCCCTGTTTATTTACTAGGTAGCAAATCCGGATATCCGGCAGACCAATTTTATCCGGAATTTTCAACCCGGATGAATTTTCCGGATTAATTCCGGATATGGAAAATCCGGCCCTGCGCAAAAAAAAAATTTTGCCAAAAAAAAAAAAATTCAAAAAAATCTGGAAAAAAAGTATGTTGTTCATATGAATGATACGAACAACATTTGGCTTGAGGTCATCTTTGATATCTCAACAGATATAAAGATAAAAAATAAAATAGAAGTAGAAAATAATATTTGTGCTCCCGCTGGGGCCCCTTTTTTAACAGCGCCGTCCATTCATGTGGGATTGATACGAGTACCGTTAAGGTTGACATCCCTTCATTTCTGTTCTCAATTCTCTTGCTGTTTTCCATCTCTTCTCCTCGTCTGACCATAAATGCTTCACTTGCTAGACCCCGTGTTCCACCCATGTTCCCCATTTGGAGTCCCGGGCGGAAAGCGTTCTGGGCTTGCCCTGGTAGTCCTTTATCCACTGGTTGCAGAGCAGCGGTTGSCTTAACACTTCTTCCCTTGAACAGGGTTCTCTGATCCTGGCCGGGAAGATTTGTTTCCACAGCTTGATGAGCTGCCCCAGTCAGTACCTGTTCTCTTGAGTATCCCTCTGACAAGGGTCCACTCCGTTATCTCCCCTTAGTGTTTCAGCCCACCCTTTGCACGTTAGCCAGTAGATTCCTAGCATTTTGGCCGGAGTTTTAAATATAGACCGCCTCCTCATCTGCTCCAATGCGAACGGTGCCCAAGGCCGTGTCGGGTTGGTAGCTTGATTATCCATTTGGTCTGCAAGGCCTTCAGTTGCTGTTCCGGATCGATTATGCCCAGTCCTCCCTTTTCCTTTTTCCTCGTTACGTGCGTCCGACCCACTTTAGATATAAAGTGKTGCATTGACAAGTTGGTCGTCCAGAGGTACGCCACTGCCCTTCTACGTAGTTCCTTGCCGCTCGAGCTGGTGGGCTCCATAGTGTGCCTACATACCACAACGTCGAGAGATTGAGSCGTTGATTATCAGTGATCTCCCGAAGAGTGAYGTGTATACTGGTGACCATGATCCTAACTTTGCCTGCCAGAATCTTTGCCAAGATCTCTGGGGCCATCGAATGGTGTGGACCGGCCTCTGTGATCTTGATTCCCAAGTACCTTAATGGTTCTTCCACCCATTGCAGTCCCACCGGGTTTATATCCGGGCTGGGTCCATCCTCCCGCAGGTCCGACAACCACCATCCAACCATTTTGGGCGAGTTGATCTTCATCTCTGAGGCTGGCTGAAACGCCTGCACTGGCCTTGTTAGGGCGGCRAATGAGGAGTGCGACATCTGGATCACCACTGTCAAGTCGTCCGCGAACAACATTTTTGTCAGGATAYCCACGGTCTTTCCTTGATGATCAGGCTCTCCTACCAATCGCTGAATTGATGGATCTTTTCTGAGMTAGGAGGTTGCCGCTCCCATTATGAAGAGAAAAATTGGCGCTACCAGGGGGTCTCCCTGTCGGACTGATCCTGACATTCTATAGTTGTCTGACAGATTGCCGTTGACCTGCTGCACTTGTTCATGGGTGTCGTTATACAACACTCTTATCCAATTCCTGAAGTTAGGCCCCACTCCCATCTTCGCCATGCAGCGTTGGAGGAAGTTCCAATTTACTTGGTCGTAAGCCTTCTCAAAGTCGAAGAACAGAATTGCTGCATTGATCCTCTTGTCSTTGATATAGCGTACTGATTCTGTCAGTGTCATGACGTTGTCCAGTATGAATCTCCCAGGAATGAAGCCTGTTTGGTCCAAGTGAAAGCAGCCTTGGGTAATCGTCGTCAATCGGTTCGCTAGTACTTTTGCTACTATCTTGTGTGTCAATGTTAGTAGCRTTATAGGCCTGTAATTCTTTATGTCTGCAGGATTCCACTCTTTGTAAAGCAGCATGATCATCCCTGTCGATGGATCCTCTCCCACCCCCTCCTTTGCCCAYGTTGAGTTGAGAAAGGCTTTATATTCTCACCTCCCAAAATCGGCRAAAATCCCTGCCAAAATTCCCTCGCGAGTCGCGAGGCCATTCCTTCCTGGTGTTTTGTTAGGACTCATGGACTTCAGTGCCTCCCRCAGTTCCTCCTGCGAGAYGGGGTCCTCCAGCATTTGTTGCTGTTGTGGTGATATTGTTCTTTCCAAATGGGCTAGGAATTTGGCTCTTGCTCCTTCAGTCCGTTCCTTGGAATGATMCTGCTCGAGGTATATAAGCTGCTGTAGAAGTCATGAGCCACCCGAATCATACCCTCAGGAATTGCTGTCAGCCCGTTCGGTCCCTCCAATTGCTCTATTGCAGTGTTACGCTCTCTGGTTCTGATCTTGTGGAAGAAGAACTTGGYCATTCTCTCCCCTTCCTCSCACTCCCTGATCCTGGCTCTCATTTGGAGACCCCGACTCCTCCACACACCTCTCCCAGTCTGCTAGCTCTGSCTTGCCTGCGTCGAATAATCTTTCATATAAATCTGTGCCCGGATGGCGAATCAGGTTCTGATCCGCCACCCTGAATGCTTGCTGTAATTCGATCTCTCTTGCCCTTCTCTTTGCTGCTAGCTGTCTGGCCGCCCTCCCYGCTACTTGGGACAGAGCCGACAACAGCTCTGCRAAGGGTTGAGTCTCTGAGTTACGGGCTAAACAAGCGTGAAGGACCTGCTGTCRCATCTCCTCAGTTCTCAAGATGGAATGGTTGACTTAAAAAAATCCCCTTCCTCTACTAATTCCCTAGTCTGTGATTAAATGTTCAAAAATGGGGGTGTGGTCCAAGCCACCAGCATAGGGTATATCCTCTATCCCAAMCGAGTGGACCATGCCTAGGAGCCCATTAGGTACTAAGAAATAATTTATCCTTGACGCCRAGACTTGCTGACTCCTATTCTTCTTACGGTAAGTACACTGCTKTTCTTCCGGAAAGTGCAGCCTGTATGGGCCCATTAACTCGCCTTCCACCATCAGTTATTGATCGACAGTGCTTCCTCCCCCGCAGTTCSTTCCGTCCCCAAAATCCCTCCCGGCATGCGGTTCATTCCTATGTGCAATGTTGYGTTCCAGTCAACCGCCAGTATTGTGTGCCTTGTGCTGTCCAGACGTGTGTTCAATTGATTCACCATTTGATGCCTCTCTTGGTTTGCATTAGGGCGATAGAGAGAGRTGAGCGTAAAAAAAGCCTCTTCATGCAATGTGAAGTCTATTTGTACCCAGCGCCCCTGCTCTTTGTCCACTTGTACCATTTCTATTGTCAGCTTACCGGCTGCCGCTGATCTTCTGTTCATCAAAATGGCTACTCCTGCTGAATGTGACCTCAGGGATGGAGCCCAATAGGCCTCTTTTACCCATGTTAATTTTTCCGCTATTCTTGTTAGTGCGAGGAATCTGGGTCCTCGCCAGGCCTAAGGGGCCCCTAGAGCAAATGTGCCCGCCCTAAGTGAAGGCGGGCCTAACAAATCACGAGAGGCCCTTGGCTGTCAATTTCATATTTGGGGTCCAGGCAGTTTCCTCGCGCCAGTTGGTTGGAGGAAAACACAGGCCTAGCAGCGTGGAAATTCCCAGGCCTTCTAGGCCTTTACAAAAGCACAGGCCCTGGGCGAGTTTCGCAGCCTCATACACAGACAGTTGGGAGGCCCAACCGAATGAGGCCCAGTAGCTGCACTAGAGGCGCAGCATCCTCGGGCCTACCGGAAGCTTCTGGGCCCAGGCCAGTCCAACCAGGCTGCCGAATGAGGCAGGCACTTTCCATATAGGAAAGAACTCGCTGCCTGGACAGGCATTGGGGTACTMKCATGCTGGCGGCAGCGCTGCTGGAGCTGAAGCTCGCGGGYTGCTGCTAGYGCTGAGAGGCGAGGTGCGAGCAYKTGCGGTCGTGCAGGGAGCARGGCGCTGCTGAGGGCAGCGGCATAGCCCAGCCTTCATAGCTGGCGGGCTTGGATGTACAGTSAGGCKCAGGGGTGGTCTTCGGGTGTTCAATAAGGGAAGACATGGGAGAGAGAGAAGGATGATGATGATGATGATGTGAGGGCACRTACCTGGTATTGGYGATGGTTCTGCATGGGCGACATCTTCAAGTACTTCGGGTGTTGCTGACGTCAACAGTTGCGTTGTCAATTAGTAGTCYAGTAGTAGCTGTGTAGGGAGTAGGCTGGGCACCGAGCGCCARGTACGGAGATAGGGACTGGATACATATGTTGGTGGTGGCGAGAGCAAGCTCTCATTGACATTGGTTTTCAGTGCTACGATTCTCCAYTGGTGTTATATTGGTGCAATGCTGCTTTCTGAACACTATGATACGATYTGGCTTTCAATGTGATTGTGCAG